GTTGACTGGGATAGCAGTATCTCAGCTGACTCGGTTATTTGGTTATTTGGCCCGTTTCATATGACTTCTTGTCATGAAAGGGGGATCTTAACTTCAATTTATTTACTGCAATATATCTGTTGGTTCTTGAAGTTGTTATAAGACTCTTCCCTGGACAATTGAGCTCCATGGTTCAATTCTTCCAGTTTTTACCAAATCATCACGATAGAGGGGACAAGTCAAATAATTCTGGATCTCCAGAGCATCACACTACTTGTTCATCTTTTTTGCAGGCCTCAGTCTTGCCTCTGGACATCAGTCCTACATCACCAGTTGACCAGGAAAGCCCAATGAAGTATCCGTGCAGCACATCTGAAGATCTTAGCTTGGAGTCCAAGATCATATTCTTTGACCTCAAGGTTCTGCGTAAGTATCCTTGGTCTCCAGGATATTTCTGATCATATGTATCCTGGGAGCCATATGTGGTCATCTTGCCTGAAGTAGGTCAACCCAATCTTCTGTTTCCTAGAATGACCTGTAACCACAAAGCCTGAGTGACCCCATCACCTCACCCATGAGGGGTGCAGGTATCCCCAGAAGATTCCATCATTTGTTCTTCTTCAGTTGTTTCTGTAGAGGAATGTTCTTACTACATGTTGGGTCTCAAAGGCTGATCACAATCTTTTTTTATTTAGCAACCAAGAAGAAATTTTCAGTATTATTTGCTCTTTCAGCATTTATCTCTTTTCCTCCCTGTTCACTAGTACAGGTAGTCCTTGAGTTATGACCACAATCGAGTCCAGAATTTATGTTGATAAGTGAGAAACGTGTTAAGCAAGTTTTGCCCTGTTTTACAATTTTTCTTGCTTCATTTCATAAGTGAATCACTGCAGTTGTTAAGTTAGTAACACGGTTGCTAAGTGAATCTGACTCTCCCTTGACTTCACTTGTCAGACGGTCGCAAAAGAGAATCACATGACTGCAACCGTCATAAATGTGAGTCAGTTTTCAAGCATCCAAATGTAAATCACATGACCGTGGGGAGGCTGCAATGGTCATAAGTGTGAAAAATGATCATAAGTCACTTTGTTCAGTGCTGTTGTAATTTCAAACGGTCACCAACTATGCTGTTGTAAGTTGAGGACTACGTGTATTCTTATTTTTGTTAGGTATGAGAACCATTTTAAGATCCATAACTTTCATCCATCAGCCCAGACCAATGAAGTCTCTCTTTTCATTGCAGCAGGAAACATCCTTCACCTGGTCGCGCTTGGAGAAGAAACCCCCCCTTTCAGTGTCATGATTTCTTGCCTCAAAAACACAGATGACAAAGTCTGTATGCATGGAGTGGATGAGTTCCTGGAATATCTCAGCACCCTCCATAGGCCCATTTTTGTGGGATACAAGTTATGGTCCATGGAACTGCCTGCTCTGCTTGATTCCCTTCGAAAGATCAACAAAGAAAAACAGTTTAAAGAGTCCATCTTTGGTTTCCTGGATGTTTTGCCCTTCATCAGAGAGAAATTCCCTGAAAATCCGAATTATACACTGAAAAAATTAGACAGGAAGTATCGTCAGGGCCAGTTGGATTGCACCAAAGCAGGTGAATGTGCCATAGCTCTGAAGGAGCTCTGCACCTTCTTGAAAATTAACCCCGTGACCCAAAAAAACCAGATAATCGCCTGTTCCAGCTTCAGATGTTACTCCTCCCTTCAACCACTCTGGGAGAAGAAAGTCCTCACCCAGCCCTCCAGGCGGACTTTGGCCCTACACAACATCTCCCTTCTCAAACTGCAGTCTGTCTATCAAAAAGACCCCGAGAAAGGGCTAAAGAAACTCTGCAGGCGTTTGAACACCAAACGGAGGACGGGCGAGAAAAAAATTCAGAGGTTGAGCAAGATCCGCAGCTATTTCCAAAGCCTCCCCTCGTCATCTCAATGTTCTTCACTTCCACAGATTTGTTAAATGACACTCTCATTTTTATGGGATTAGTAATAGTAACAGTAATAAAGTTGTAAGGGACCTTGGAGGTCATCGAGTCCAACCCCCTGCTCAGGCAGGAAACCCTTCAGATGCTTTGGAGAACAGCTTGACTCCCTCTTCTTTGGGGCAGCCCCTGAGATATTGGAACACTGCTATCATGTCCCCCCTCGTCCTCCTCTTCGTTAAACTAGCCGAATTAAGATTAAGTCACCCCTCTGTACACAAGGGAATTACCTTGAAATAAAACCACACAGACTGGCTGGTACATCTGGCCAAAGAGTCTGTGACTTGAGTTTACATAGACCACATCATCGTGTTTTATGGAATCCACCAAAGAGGGTTATTAGGTTGGTGCATTAGGCTAAGCCATGAGCCTTGATTTGCAAACCACAACGTGACAAGATCACGCACATGTAGAACACCTGGTTTTTGTATAGGAAATGGTAAAGCTAGAATGCAGAATACAACTATTTTTAAGGCACAACTTGAAATTGTCTGGGCCCCAGTTCCCAGAATTGGGAGAGGATTGAGGACCAGACATTTTCAAGTAGCCAAGATTGGAAAGCACGGGTTTAAGATAAGATCCGTTTGTCTTTCCTACAAATATCACATTGTTATACAGTATTTTGGGGTGGGGGAGGAGCAGAAGCCTACTATAAAATCCAAGCAGGGATACTGCATCGAGCTATCATACTTTGTTTGTAGCTTGTGTAAGGTCTCAGTTCCTTATGTGAACTTGAGATATTAATCTAATCAGATAACCCAAGCAGAGACTTCTTGATCAAGCAGAACTTTATTTGATCAAATTAAGCAGCTGGGTGGCCAACAATCTGGAACGCTGGCAGAGTTATGTCAGAGGTGCTACACCTTAGAAAGTTGGTAGCATTGCTTTATAAACTTGGTTAGCCAATGAAAATCAAAGAGAGCCATTATATCATAAAAAGATATCAATCATTCCTGTACACTCCAATAATAATAATAATAATAATAATAAAGTTGGAAGGGACCTTGGAGGTCATCGAGTCCAACCCCCTGCTCAGGCAGGAAACCCTATACCATTTCAGACAAATGGCTGTCCAGTCTCTTCTTACAAGCCTTCAGGGATGGAGCATTCACCGCTTTTGGAGACAGGTTGTTCCACTGATTAATTGTTCTCGCTGTCAGGAAGTTTCTCTTCAGTTCTAGGTTGCTTCTCTCCTTGACTAGTTTCCATCCGTTGCTTCTTGTCCGGCCTTCAGGCGCTTTGGAGAATAGCTTGACTCCCTCTTCTTTGGGGTAGCCCCTGAGATACTGGAACACTGCTATCATGTCCTCCCTCGTCCTTCTCTTCATTAAACTAGACATGCCCAATTCCAGCAACCGTCCTGCATATGTTTTAGCCTCCAGTCCCCTAATCATCTTATTGCCTCCTTCAGTATATTGCATCCATATACATGTTTCCCACACTTGCATGAAATTTCTCTGGTGCAAAAGCTGGTTACAAAAAGCAAGAAAGCAACAGACTAAATGATTTTCCTTTGTTCCAGAACCCTTGTATAGTGTGAAACAGCCCAGAAGATCAGGAATTTCCAATTCCCACAAGGATTAACCTTGCAAGTCCATGAGTGGCTGAGCTCACACATTCTGCAGCTAAAACATGGCTAATGTTAGATTCTTTTGAACCAGCCAGAATGTCTGTCTAGTAATAAACTAGCATATATGAATTAGGGCTTCCAAACATGACCAACTTAATTTTTATACAGCAACTAAGTAAAAAGAAATTAAGCAATTCAGCAACATGTCCCGTTTGATATGTGTAATTTTACTCAAAAACACTGGAACAAAGCAGGGGTCTTCAAACTTGGCCCTTTTATGACTTGTGGACTTCAACTCCCAGAATTCCTCAGCCGGGCATGCTGGCTGAGGAATTCTGGGAGTTGAAGTCCACAGGTCATACAAGGGCCAGGTTTGAAGACCCCTGGCCTAAAGCAAACCTCATTCTAGACCTAGGTTCAAATTCCCTACCTGACCTCAGAACTTGGGGGAGAAAGCAGTCAAGTTCCCTTCAGGTTGTTTCTGCAGGGGTAAAATTAGGGGAGATTCTTACATAAATCATATTAAGCACCCAGAGGAAAGGTGAACCTCTTGTTATTATTGCTTTTGAGTCTGAGGGCCCTTAGATGCCATCCTTGGTCTTGCAGGTTCAAGACATGGTGGACCTGCCTAAAATTCTTCTCCCAGTTTCTAAGTCTTGTGGAGGCTTCTATCTTTTCTCCTCCAGATCCTTCTTGTGTGTCTCTGGAGATTCTCAATCATCCAGGTCATGGTTGTCCCACAGGTACTTTTTTTCCAAAAGGCAACAGGACTTTCTTAACAGAATAACAGTTGGAAGGTGTTGAGTCCTCGGCTTAATGGCGAATGAGCACAGAACATCTTGTAGTGTCAAGAAGTCTTTATTGTAGTCTCTTCTGCTCTGTTACAGCTCTGAGGCTCGCAGGCCTCTCTGCTTCCTTAATAACGTTCCCCGGGCAGAATGGCAACAATTAGGCGCGCTCCGCACCTCGCGCATGTGCGCGAAGCCGGCGCCAGCCAGTCTGGTCCCGGGCAGCTTGCAACTGCCCAGGACCATTGCAACATCCTGAGCCTGCCTTTGCAGGCTCAGGACACAACAGAAGGGACCTTGGAGATCTTCTAGTCCAACCCCCTGCTCAAGCAGAAAACCCTATACCAGGGGTAGGCAGCCTTGGCTATGCTGGTTCAGGAATTCTGGGAGTTGAAGTCCATGAGTCATAAAGGAGCCAAGGTTGCCTACCCCTGCCCTATACCATTTCAGACAAATGGTTGTCCAGTCTCTTCTTGTTTTTTTTTTCCTCTAAAAACATTCCACTTCTCATCCATTAAGCTTCTTCTGAAGAACGGAAGAAGCTTCTTGGATAAGAAGCAAAATATTTTTTTTTTAAAAAAAAACAAACCCAGAAAGTTTGCTTGTTTTTTGGAAAAAGCACCTTTGGGATACTCAAATCCTCTTTGGCCCTATGCAAATCTAAGTACTTTCAGGAGAGTGGCTGAAACTTTTAACCTACATTAATCTCTCCTTCCCCCCCCCTCTGGCTGCAGAGCGCTTGCAGCTGGGGGAGATGCAAAACTTCATATTTTTGGGGTTGCTTTGCAGGATTTGCACTGGCTGCAAAGAGAGCTGATTAGCTGCCTGATTATTGAAGTCAGGTGAGAGAAGATTGGCCTTCAGGAGCTGGAATAAAAAGGATGCTGGGCAGATGCTGGTCTCTTCTTCTCCGGCTTCCTAGAACAGACAGGATGGGACCGTTACAGAATTTGGCCATTGTTTTAGCTTGTTGGGTAATTGGGGAAGTGGCTTCTTTGGATCCCTGGGATTATGTCTGGAGGTATTATAACACTCCTGCCCCTGCGAGGCAGCCTTATATGCCTTCTGGGGTTGAGACTTACCCTTATGCTTGGGTAGATGCTTCTCAGGCCCGAGCTTTGTCCCTCCTGTCACCTGTGCTGGTCCAGTGTGGAGAGGCCCAGGTGATGGTGACTGTGAAGAGAGACCTGTTTGGCACCGGGAGACTCGTCCAGGTAGACGACCTGAGTTTGGGTCCATCTGGCTGCCAACCCACGGCCTACAATGCTGCCGAGAACACGGTGATCTTCAATGTAGGTCTTCATGAGTGCGGGAGTGTCTTGCAGGTAAGGGTGGAAGAGTCTGCAAATCTGTGTTTTTCCCATGCCATGAAATTCCCCTTGTACTGTATGTGGCAAGCACTAAATCCACTTCTGGTTTATTGCTGCATCTCCCTGGTCTCATCTTTCCTTCTTTTCTCTAGATGACTGCTGAGTTTCTGGTCTACAGCATCAGTCTCCATTATAAACCCACCCCTTCTTCCCACAGTGTCATTGTAAGAACCAGCCCAGTTGACGTCCCCATTGAGTGTCACTACCCAAGGTAAGTTTGGAGGACGAAACTAACAAAAATGTGGGGTTGGCTTGAGTTTTGGGGGCAGGGGTCTTCAAACTTGGCCCTTTTATGACTTGTGGACTTCAACTCCCAGAATTCCTCAACCAGAGGCATGCTGGCTGAGGAATTCTGGGGATTGAAGTCCACAAGTCATAAAAGGGCCAAGTTTGAAGACCCCTGTTCTAGAGGGTCAAATAGTGTATCATTTTCTTCACCTGTGGCAACAGAATTTCTGGTGGGAGAAAAAAACCACTAAATCACTTGTTCTCTTTGGGAGACTTTACCTGTCTTTATTTCCAGGAGAAACAACGTAAGCAGTAGTGCAATCAAGCCAACGTGGATTCCATTCACATCAACGATTTCTGCAGAAGAAAAACTACGTTTCTCCTTGCGTTTGATGAATGGTACTCCTTTTTATGTGGTTACTAGGAGTTGGAAATGACTTCATGGCCCATAATTGCTTCCAGAAGCCCCTTATTTCTTCATGAGTCTCATGAACACGAGGGTCCAATGAGATTAAACCTTAATTGTGCACAAGTAACTTTTTCTTCACATTGGCATTAGTCAAACCATTTTTAAACTGTTGGTTAAAAAAAATTGACCCCACTTTCCCATAGCTTTGTGCATAAGGCCAGATCATGTTTGTCCAAATAGTCATATGTGCATGTGTACATATGCCACGCAAACCATGTTACAGAATTGTGCACACGTACTTCCTCAAGTCGCAATTTTGCACAGCTTCTGACTTTTTATGGCAATTCCAGAATTGCTAATAGTCCTTCAAAATTCTGGGGAAAATAATGCAGATGTCGGTGTACCTTCTGGATTCTGCATATTTCAGAAGACTGCAGCCGATTCGATGGTATCCAAAATTTAAAAATGGTTTGACAGGCCAATATAAAAATTAAGATGGGATGCACATTGGTTTGCAGACATGATACATGGGAGAAAAAAAAGACTATTTGTCCAAGTTGCATTCCTGATCTGAACTGGGCTCACTTGGGTTGAAATTTGCATCCAAGAAGTTGGGTATGATGGTTTTGGTTTTCAGATGGCTGGAACGCAGAGAGAACCTCCAACGGCTATCAGTTGGGAGAAATCATGTATATTCAGGCTGAAGTAATAGCAGAAAACCACACGCCACTCCGGCTCTTTGTTGATAGCTGTGTGGCCACGCTGAGCCCAGAGGCAGATTCCAGTCCCCGCTATCCCATCATCAATTTCAAGGGGTAAGAGTTCTATCTCTCTTCGCACTTGCACTGAACATTTTTATTTGAGATAACTCACTGCTCCTGGAGATCTTAAAGTTGCTTGTTCAGTAGCAAAATTGCACTGTGTCCACTTAAAATGGTCATCACTATGGGGTAGAATGGCCATCGGGAGCAATAACCTTGCTTACATATGAAAATTGCTAATAAAGGAGAATATTTGGGTTGAAATGAGGGGTCCTTTGATGCAGCTGTAACCTAGTTTGGGTAATGAAATGTCTGCAAGAAAACAACCAAGCTCAGAGGGCGTCAAGAACCTCTGGTGAAACTTGCTAAATTTGTACGAAGAATCAGGTTTTCCCTTTTTATCTTTTGCCTTCTGGCTCTTACTTGCAAGAAAGTTCTTGTTCTATGCTTGCGTCCACAAAGAAAGCCATCAACTCATCCCCGTTATCACGGCTGGGTTGTTACATCGCCTCCTGACCTGCTTTTCTCTCTGTATGACATAAAAATTATATTTTAACTTGATGGCGCTGATTGCTTCGGTTTCTATCTATCCCCTTGTGTGTCATTTGTGTTTGAGGGTAATCCGGCAGGTAGTGTGGTTTTCCCTGGTCATTTTGAAGGATCAGATGAAGGAATATACGAACAGATGAGGCCCCGGGGATCGGAGGAAAGAACGTCTGTGGAGATAATATGAATTCTGAGAGAAATGTTTTCTCTTGTCTTCATGTCACGGCCTCAAAACAAGCGAGGAAAAAGCTCTTCTTTCATCCTGCTTACTGTCCAGTTGTAATAGGGGATTTGTAATACAAGCTTGCTAACAGTTGATAGCATGACGAGGGGGGGGGGCATGAACAATGAAGCGAGGAAGACTCACATGTCAGAAACCACTTAACCAAGATCTTGGATGCAAGAATAGCTCACTTACAAGAAAAAAACCCCAAACCACAGAGTTAGAACATAGAACTAGAAACTTCGCAAGATAGCCGCAACCTGGGGTAGGCAACAGGAGGCGTGACATTTAGCTGTTTTGCACAGCAAGCGAGAAAGCTTTAGGGGGCTGTAATCCAGGTAACCAATCTATATTATATGTAATGCATGCATTATTAGGGGGAGGGCAAAGGGATATATGTGATTCACCTTCAGCTATAAAAAATGCTGTAAAACTGTAATCAGCGCCTTGGCTGCCTTCAAAGCCAAGGTCCTTATATCTTGGTACCAAAATAATTGTCTCACACCTTCTCTTTGGTGATCCACTGGCTTCGACTCCAAGCTAAGGCCCAGTTTTTTGGACGATAATTTCTGAGTCAGACTGGGAGCTTTGGGGCTAAAGAACAGACTCGCAATTTCATTTAAACGCAAGGTTCAGATAGGCCTGTTGTTTGCACAACCACGCTAAAATGCAGAGTGCACTAATGTGTAACCAAGTGTGTCAATAATAGGAAGCATTGTTGACGGGTGTTGTGTCCTCCAGTTGCCTGGTAGATGGAAGATTTGATTCCAGCTCAACCTTCTTATCACCAAGGCTCAGGGATGACATTCTTCAGTTCACAGTAGACGTCTTCCGGTTTAGCGAAGACCCCCGAGATCTGGTAAGAGGTCGCCTTCTGAAGCCCAGCTCCTAGCAGCAATATTTTTGAAGTCTCACTCTTCATCATGCCATAACCTAGCTTAAACCACCTTTTATCTTGTTCCTAGATCTACATCACCTGTCATTTGAAAGTCTCTGCAGCTACTCAAGCCCCCGATCCTGAGAACAAAGCTTGTTCCTTCCATCAGGCTAGTAACAGGTAAGCAAACTGACATTCCTACAGGGTGACGCCACTGTGCTAAGCCATGTGTCACTGTAGGAGGACCTTAGTAGGCTTAGTCGACCAAAATGTGAACATGCAACTAGTTTCTTTGATATAATTTATCTGCTTCTTTGGAGAAAAAAAAGTTTTAGATTTGTTTTATTTTGGAAGACTTAGTGATTATCTTGTTTTGAGCTACACACCAATAGTTTGGAAAGCGGTTTCTAACCTAACTGGCTATTGCATACTGTTCTGATTCCAAGAGAGATTAATTTATAAGCATTAAGGACCTTCTCGGCTTCATACAGTGGTTTGAAGAACACACTTTTCCTTATTTGAAGACATGTTCCGTAACTGAGTGTCCTGATAGATGAACCTATTAGCAATCTCAACTTTGTATACTAGTTCATATGCCTGATTTTTCTCTTACCCCTTAACCTATTAAATGACTTATTCAAAATGTTAACATTTGTTATAGAGGGGTTAGCTGTGCTTGGTACAAATAGAGTAAGGATATTTTGCATATAGTGAACTTAAGAGGTTTGCATAAACCACAGATGGGGGAGTTCATTAACCAGAAACCAACCTGGGTTCCAACTTAACAACCTTGTAAGCCCAATTGCTCTTAGGCTAAGTAGATCAATGGTTGAACCTAAGAAATTAACTACCAGTAATTTAGGATATAGCCAGGTATCCATCCTTTGGTCTATTACAGTGGTTCTCAACCTGTGGGTCGGGACCCCATTTGGGGGTCGAACGACCATTTCACGGGGGTCGCCAAACAATGCAGTCTGCCATTTTTTTCCCCCTTTTCCTTAGCTGTGCTACTCCCTTTTATTCTATTGGCTTTTGAAAGCCAATAGAATAGACTCTCTTGAATAGAGTCTAATTCTATTGGCTTTCAAAAGCCAATAGGAATTGTCCAGGCTGTCTCTGCCCTTGCTGAGCCCGCCAAAAGTCCCATTCTGCAAACGGTGCTGCACCAGTTGAGCAGTCCTCGACTTACGACCGGTTGAGTAGTCCTCGACTTACAACCGGTTGGGGTCGCGGCATTAAAAAGGTTGAGAACCACTGGTCTATTAAGAAGGGGAAGTATTGGATGAAATCTCATTATATAGGCGCAACCTTACAGGAAATGTTTCCCTTTTTTCACCACAGCTGGGTTCCAGTTGAAGGAACCGCAGATATTTGCTCTTGTTGTGAAACCCAGAATTGTGTTCGAACTACTGGTCAAGGCAGCTGGGACAGATGGGGAAGAAGATTGGGCAGAGATGTGGCTGCTAAATTGGGTATGTATCAAGATTAGGCGGCATAGGTAGTGAACTATTCCCTTGAATGATATTCAAAAGTAGTTGTTCTGGAAATATTAGCTGAGGGTCAATCATGTCACATTCTCTGAGATTGCCTGGACCAAGTCCCTGTAGTTTTCTTGGCAAGGTTTCTCAAAAGTGGCTTGCCATTGATTCTTTTCTAAGACAGAGAGAAGGTGACTGGCCCAAGGTTACCCAGTTGGCTTTGTACCTAAGCTGGGATTAGAACTCACGATCTCCCAGTTTCTAGTCTGATGCCTTAACTACTACACCAAACTGGCACTCTCCACCTTAACACGAATATCTTGTTAATCTTGTTCTCATGCAGATAAATCAAAGGAGGCAGATGCTGACGTGATGCTCGGTCCCATCCTCATTCTTGACTCGTACATGACTTCCAGAACTCCTCCTGACAATCAAAATAAGAATTTGGTCCTCTCAGCAGAACATGGTACTGTAACATGTTAATTATGGAGTTCAGACATTGTGTTAATCCATGATTTGCTGACTAAACCATAACCGGATATATTCGTACCACTTGCTAAATCAGAGGTGTGTGGCTTTTGTAACCTTGGGGCTGCAACAGTCCCCATAAATTTTCCATGTGATTACAATTTTTTGATCTGACAGTCTGCAACCATTACTCCCACTAGATGTAGTATTAACTGTATGAATTTCAGTGAAATTCTATATAATTGTTTGACTTAGAGCCAGAAGAATGGAATCAGTTGAAGTTAGCCTGATTCTTTCAACAGACTGGCAATAATTTCGCCCAATTATAAATTTACATGGAACTTTTGTTAAGATCTTTGACAGTAGCAGGAGATTCTCCGAGCAGAAATTTGGGATAAAAGTCACCTCAATGGCACTTGCTTATCATTAAGTTCCACTCTTTAGGTTTGAAGGGAAGGGAATCCGGAATGTTAAGCTCTTTGTTTTCTACTGTGTATGATATTCTTTACTTTTGATTTTCACTGCAAAAAAAGCTGTTTAAGAGAATCCAGTACTGTTCTGTTCTTTTTTACAGGATTTTTCCAAATTCCTTGGATGCTGGTGGGGATCATCCTGATAGCCCTTACTACAAGCTTGGCCTTGACCACTCTAGGAATCTTTTGTACTAGAAAAAGACGTTCTAATTCTTCTTAAGATGTTGTGCAATGTGGAAGGATGTTAAAATAAACAAATCAAGACGTAAAAAAGACTTATTGAACAAGGTGGAGGGGAAAAAACAAATATAATGGTGCTTGCATAGAAAACATCTCAGAAGCATCAAAACAAAGACTAAGTGATTTGTACCTGCTAGGTCCGTGCTCACTTCAAAAAAAATAATACAGAATTCCTTTGGACCTCACACAACCATCACATCTCCCTGCTCTTAACTGAAGTAAGGCTTGATTTTTCAAGGCTGCAACTGAGCCTGAAGAACAAGGAGTCATTTAAAGAGTTGCATTCACTATTAAGATTGCAAAGATACTTTCTTATAACTCCCATTCAGTCCTCTATGGGTCCTCCTAAGGTTGTGGTCTAATGTTATGTTAGGATATGACTTGCTTCAAAGTAGTTTGATAAATAAGGCCATGTGTGAACTTAGTTGATTGTGGTTTAAATCAAACATTTGGGTATATGCTAAGTATATTCAGCTTAAATCTTTAACATCACTTCATAAGACTGCCTTGTAAATAAAACACAAATTAACTGAATGATGAAAACTGAGTTTCTCAAGAACAAACTAGGCCATTGACTCTCATTTAATAATAATAATAATAATAATAATAATAATAGTAATAGTAATAATAATAATAATAAACAGACAAGCACCTGCAACATAACACCCCAGACTTAACAATTGTCGATAAGAAAGACAAAAAATTCTGGATAGTGGAGGTGGCAGTGCCTGGAGACAGCAGAATAGACGAGAAAGAACTGGAGAAGATAACAAAATACAAAAACCTACAAATAGAAATAGAAAGACTGTGGCAAAAGCGAGCAAGGATAGTACCAATAGTCATAGGCGCCTTGGGTGCAATCCCAAAACCACTGGAGCACCACTTGGACACCATCATCGGCATTGACAAATTCGCCATTGGTCAATTGCAAAAGGCAGCCTTACTAGGAACTGCTTCCATCCTGCGACGATACCTGTAATACCATCAAACATCCACATCTGCCTATCCCAGGTCCTTGGTAAGGACTCGATAGGTAGACAAAATGCCAAATCCAGCCTGAACATCTGGCTGACTGTGCGATGATCCATAATAATAATAATAAAGTTGGAAGGGACCTTAGAGGTCATCGAGTCCAACCCCCTGCTCAGTTCACCCTTCAAAATTACCAGCTCCTCTTATCATGCGGCAAATTTATTCATTTATTTAAAAGTATTGCCCAACCAGCTCCAATGAACTCTGGGCAGCCTGCAGAATAAAGAACATTAAAAACAGCTTAAAATATTGACTCGGATTTGTTTTGCAGATTTGGGAGGAAAAGTACTGTGAAAAGCAGAATAAGGGCTCTGATTTAAAAAATACTGCAGAGAAGCCCACTAATTTCAAATACAACAGAATAGTTTGTTTTGACCAAGTGTGATTAGTCACGCGAGGAATTGTGTTACAGTTTCAAACAAAAAGCCATCGAGGTGCAAAAAAAATTCTATATTCCTGTGGGCAGCCAGGAAAGCCTCCCCAAAGTTCATTTTGTATACTGAATTACTAACAGATACGGAATGGCGAGATTTTGAAGTAAAGGCTGAAAAGGGCTGACGCGCATTAGCTCTTTAAACACCTGCAGTTCCCACGACCAATAGGAGAACACGTGTCGCTATAGCAAGAAGCAAGAACCTCTGACGGTCAGCTGACTTGTTCACGGTCAGCTGATTGCAAAGGAAGCTCTTCAGGGATTGGCCAGAAAGAAGTAAATAAGGGGAAGCTCTTCAGGAATTGGCTAGAAAGCAGACAGCTGGGGGAAAAAAAGAGAAGCTTTTCACGGATTGGCTAGAAAGAAGTCAGCTGATACAAGGGGAGCTCTTCAGAGATTGGGTAGAAAGGAGAAGTCAGGTGACTCGCTTTGTATAGGGAGGAGGGTGTTGCTCAGTTCAGGGGAAGATGGTGAGTGCGGGGGGAGGCGCGTGGAGGGGAGCTTTATTGCTAGCAAGGCAAGAAGGGGGGGGGGTATTTTAAAGGATTAAAGGAGAAAGAGCCCAGATCTTTAAAAGAAAAATTGGTGCAAGTGCAGAGTAGTGCATTTGTCAGTGCAAAATCTCAGTAATTCTGAAATGGGTGGACTTTCGATTCCCAGAATTCCCCCAGCCAGCTTGAATTCTAGGAGTTGGAGTCCACCTATACTGGCTGGGGGGGGATTATGGGAGTTGAAGCCCATGCATGCTAGCTGGATGAATTCTGGGAGTTATAACAATAATAATAAAGTTGGAAGGGACCTTGGAGGTCATGTAGTCTAACCCCGGGCTCAGGCAGGAAACCCTATCCCACTTATGCTGGCTGGGGGAATTCTAGCAGATGAAGCCCATGCATGCTAGCTGGAGAAAGTCTGGGAGTTATAACAATAATAATAAAGTTGGAAGGGACCTTGGAGGTCATCTAGTCTAACCCCAGGCTCAGGCAGGAAACCCTATCCCACTTACGCTGGCTGGGGGAATTCTAGCAGATGAATCCCATGCATGCTAGCTGGAGGAAGTCTGGGAGTTATAACAATAATAATAAAGTTGGAAGGGACCTTGGAGGTCATCTAGTCTAACCCCAGGCTCAGGCAGGAAACCCTATCCCACTTATGCTGGCTGGGGGAATTCGGGCAGATGAAGCCCATGCATGCTAGCTGGAGGAAGTCTGGGAGCTGGAGTCCATGCATGCTAGATGGGGGGATTCTGGGAGCTGAAATCCACCCCTCTTAAAATTGCTGTGATTGAAAAGTACTCAGATTTTCTTTCTTCCTGCCAGAGATTTCGATTCTGTGGAGATTTGGACTGTCCTGACTGGGTCTTGGCAGAAATTAGCACTTTGGCTAAAATAGTAAGTGATTCCCCCCCCCCCTTGAGTTCTATGAATATTTTAATTATTTTAAGGTATGGGGGTTGCTGGCATTTTACTACCTACTTGAAGCTGGATTTGCCCCATTGTATGATTTTGCCTGACAACTACCGTTTTCCAAGGGAGGATTTAAAAAAAACGAAGATGATGGTTATGACACATTTTTGTCTTTTTTCCAGTCTTCGGTGAAACTCAAGCTGATCTGTGCCCAGGTTCTGAAAGATGTGCTCGGAGAGGGCATTGACGTGAGTTTATTCTCAATCTCTTTTGTGGATACTTGTCAAACTTGGTTTGCATAAATCCAGAATCGGTAAGAGAGAAGCACTTTCTGATTAAACCTGTGGAACGTTATTTTTTAAATAATAGATTCATAAATCAGTTGCCCCATTCATAATTGTGTTTCCATGGCAAATGAGTGCTTAGATTAGTGTCTCCCAAATGGTGTTCTGTAAATTGAAAATTCTGGGATGAATTTAAAAAAAAAACCCTTAGAGCTGTTGGGACTTTCCCAACGTTAAGTTTGAGCTGAGCTAAACTAGAAATTGTTCTTTTGTCTCTTTCAGTATGACAAAATCCTGAAGTTAACATCAGATGCCAAATTTGGTGAGTGTCCTTCCCTTCTATGTTCAAGGCCTAAGTTAGGATACAGCTAAGCCATTTCCTACCCTTCCAACATTTCTCAACTGAGAATTGAGAATCGGGGTTGCATTTATTTCCTGAGTTTAGTATTGGTGCTGAAAGCAAATTTGTGCATGGGGAATGCGTACAAAGTGTTGTGGTTCCTTACTTGAACTGGTATCTTTTTGCAAGAGACTTGCAAAATTGGTCATGTCCAAGGATCCAGAAAAATATGGCAGTATCTTACATGTCCATTCCAAACTACAGAGACGAGTGTTTCTCAACCTTGACAGCTTTAAGATATGTGTCAACGCTGCTAACATCGGATGTTTTTGCATTGACAACAGATGGAAATGTGGCCATCTTTTTCCCTTTCGCTTTTAGAGTTTGATGATGCTGGGAGGGTGTGTGTGTGAATGAGAGTCCAGCTAGACATAACAACACTAAACTTAGCATGAGAATCAAGGTTATTGAGCCCAGAGCTGATGAAGAATTGGCGAGCTGGAGAGGAAGCCCACGCTTCAAATTAATTGGGGAATGTGATTTATGACTATTAATTGGAGGAGGGAATTGTGCTTTGATACTAGGTGCCCCGGGGAGGGGAATTCAGTTTTTGGCGTTGATTATGCAGGGCCAATATTATGCTACTCAAATAAAAGATTCTTTAAGGTAAACAATGCCTCAAAGTTCTTTTGAAGAGTTTCATCTGTTGGAACCATATGTGAACTTCAATTCCCAGAATTACCCGGCCAGCCATAATACTGACATAGATGGTGGTTACGTTCTTTTCCAAAATGTTGATTCACAATAGGTAAATTTTGAACAAAATGATAGTAGTTTCAACAAACCTACACAGTTTTGGAGCAATTCATGGCCTTGGGCTAATGGCAGAGTGGTGTTTTTCTACCTTAGCAACTTTAAGATGTGTGCACTTCAACTCCCAGAATTCCCCAGCCAGCATAAGTCACTTACATCCTTTTCAATAACACGTGTTAGTCTGAAGCTCAGATAATTATATTTCCTTTCTTTTCTGCTGCAGAAATTGGAGACGTGAAAGCCACTGTGGCTGTTCTCAACTTCATTCTCTCAAGTGCCGCCAAATATAACGTGGACTCTGAGTCTCTCTCTAGCGAACTTCAACAGCTGGGGCTGCCCAAAGGTGATTTTGGGGGTTATTGCTTTTAAAAGCATAAAATGTTAACGGTTCCTCAGAATAACCTCTAACCGTAAATAAAATTTTAGAAGTTGATGGAGTTAGAAGCTAGTGGGAGAATGAAATTAGGTATACCAGGGTGGGGAACCTTGGATCTTTTATGACTTGTGGACTTCCACTCCCAGAATTCCTGAGCCAGCATGGCTCAGCTTGGAAACCTCTCCCTTTCCCCTCAGCATGGCTGGCTCAGGAATTCTGGGAGTTGAAGTCCACAAGTCATAAAAGGGCCAAGTTTGAAGACCCCTGACTTAGTGGATGTCTTGGTTGCAGAGCACGCCGCAGGATTGTGCCGGTCCTACGAAGAGAAACAGAGCGCTCTCCAGGATAGCCT